ATTGTAGCGGAGGCCTTTTGTGGTTTTGAACTCGCCTGCACAGCATAGTACTGCGCTTTTAGTTCTTAAAACCACCCTCCGTATACCTTTATATACGTTTTACTTAGTGTTGTAGACGTGTCGATGAAGATATTTTTTTACAAATACCTTTATATTGACACATGTGTATCCTTATATAGATGCTTGAGTTTGTAATTCTATGGAGCATTTTCAGAAGTGTTTATTCATTCATGTTTATTACCAACCATGACAAAACATTTGAGAAACTATATTATTTTGTTAATTGCATTACTTAATTACTTCACACACGATTTATAACTTGTTAAAGTTACTGATTAGAAGTTATTTTTGTGGTTAAATTAGTCCTTATCGACATCGACTATTTGTCATTCACGAGTACAACTCTCGTCAAAATGGCAGTACTTTTGAGTGATTGCGAGCGAACTCCACAAACAATGCCCACACCGAGTCAATCTCGCAGTGAATGCACTATAGTTATATAGCTCAAGGATGGCGGCGTACCTATCGCAATATTCAGAGATAGTTGATGACAAAAATAAACTTTTAGTTGTAACAATGCGATGGGAAATTACAGAAACATTTTACTGTTGGGAGTATTGTTGTATCGGAGCATCTATTGTGGTGGTTTTTATAGCATCTGCAGTTGGAAAACATTTTTATGGTATGCAAATGTATTATTTCCAAGAACAATATTTAAGTTGGAGTGTTGTTAGCCCTATATTTCTATCTATCAATCCTTTATCGACGGTGGCGCCACATTCATTTATCATAGCGACATAATTGGACATTAATGTAAATATCTAACAATAATATTTTGACATTCAATGTTTTAAATTGTTCTAGTTTTCTATTTATTTGCTATGCCAACCCTATTGTTACAATCATATACGCATCTATAATATAACCCGTTATCAGTTTGTACGGAAGTCTGTGAATCAATAGTTAGTGTTTACAGCACGCGCGTAACTGTTGTCATTGGGAAACCGTTTTATTTAATGTTTGTTTTTTGTGCAGTTAGTCTTTAATGCACATATTAATATATTTTTAATCCACATCCATTAAAAGTCATGTTAGATTATTTTCACGTATGTTTCAAGTCACATTTAATCAGGATAAAAACAAATATCTTTGAACAGTAACTGTTGTGAGACATACTTATTTATTGTAAATAACGTCTTACTCATGCGAATTAACTTGGAAAATGAATGAGAGTCCCGATTTTACTTGAAACTAGTAGAGCTTTTATTGTTGGTAAAAGTTGGAGTTATGTGTAAGTAACAATTTTTTTAAACATGTTTAGAAAATTTTCAAAGCCATTCATTATGTTTATATTTTGAATGATTTTGTTGGTTGTAGAACAAAAACTAATATTACCCAATTATATTCCTTGCATCGCGGTTAGGGGGAGTACAGAAATCATTTCCAGATAAACGGTAGCCGACCACCGGCTGCGCTAAATTAAATCGAACGACAGCCCTCGGATGGACAACCATTGGGCCGTTTACCCTACGTAATGGCGTCATCAAAATCTACGGCAAAAATGTGTTGCAAATGGAGCTTTCAATGAGGTCATCAGCCGTTACTTATGTATTTTATTACATACCTATTTATATATTATACAACTTTATAACTCATTACTCGGGATGTTGGGTTCGATCCTTAAGTTTGGTGAAGGGAACAGGACTTTAAATTATATGAATACATAGTTACATTGTCAACTTTTGTTTTCTTCTTTCTTTTCTCGCCTAGGGCAAGGCTAGAGAGAACTTCACTGACTAAAAACCACCCTGCTCTTGCTTCGGTACCACATTGCGCTTGCCCCGCAACCTTGGCTAGGCATTAATAACTATGATATAAGTATATACTACAAGATGACGAGAATATTTTTGACTCGGCACTGAGTATTAACCAGATTCAACTAAATGGCAGTATTTTATGTAGTCCGTCCGTTATAATGTGCCTCTTATAACACAAGATAATGTGATACCACATGGTTAGATACGATGATCGATTTTTGCATGACAACATTAGGCCATAGTAAGTGTAAAATCGACAATAAAGTTTTGTCCTCAATTAAAGTTGCTTCTCTTTTAGCACGTGCATCAGACAGGTGGACAGCGGAACACCAGGTTATTAGTATTCACATGTCTTCCAATATCCGCAGGATGGGCAGATGCCGATAAAAAACGGTATCAGCTGAAGGGACGATCGAAAACTAAACCGGTTATTACAGTATTAAAAGTATTTTTAGTAGTTTATTTAGATGGAAATATTGTTCTGTATCTCATTAAGACCGCGCTATAATCAGCGTTAATCAATTAAAAATGTATTTTGGTTCCAAATTAGTACTCAAAAATTTGCATTTGCTCTCATAAAAAAATGGAACCATGACTCAGCAGATTTTTTTTATATTTCGAACCCTTTTTTAAGTTTCTTTAACCGATTTTAAATTTGGAATCTTTTATGTAGTACGAAATAGTTTGTTTAGTTCTCCATGTAAACAAATATAGGTGTGAACATTTTGTTGAAAACCATGTACAAACAAAATAAGAGCAATTTCGGTTGTGACATTTTCATTATTCGCATCACGCTCCGGCCTTGACGCCACAAATATCACTAGAAATAAAACCAAGCGTTTACCCTGTATAAATATATCACCCTTAGTTCTACCCAACTAAGTGTTACCAACTATTACTAGCGCCAAAGAAACAATAACTATAACAGTAATATTCGTCTAGCTTCGCCCTGTTTGTTGAGTGAAGCCAATTCATGAAAACCAACATTATTTTGCTGCTCAAGATGTAATATTTGCACGATTTCATATCTTATTTTGTTGAAATAGGGGTGTGATATAGAAAAATGTTTTGCAAGTTTATGTTTGTAACAATTTATTAGTCGGATATAGGCTAAGGTTTTGAAATGCTTTTGTCAATAGGTAGAGTCGCTTTTCTTTGACGTGACAATATTTATAAAAAAATGTTTAGATTTTTTTATAAATTTGCCTTCACCTAGGAATATCTTACATAATGTCACATACACATGCCACCCGGCCCGGAATGATGTGTGAATCGAGTAATCGACAGATTTTGTAGCAGTTTGTCTCCCAGCCATTGCAATCGTGCAATTTTCGAAGAGAGAATAGATACAGAAAAGAGGCCACATAAATAAACATCGTAAATAATAAAAAAAAACACTCTTGACGTATTAAATTGAAGCGACAACATTTACGCGAATATATAAGTTCGCTATTTATTCCTCCCACAAGCTATAATAAATAAGGTGATGTTTCCCATAATAATCTCCACTTTATCAGTGAAAACAATGCACCAAAAATATATTCTTAAAGATATTTTTACGACTCACACCGAATCCCTGTGGAATCCGTTGCTTCATCGTGCGTGAAGTATGGCAGATAGCGCTTACATAAAGGTGGGGGCACACGGCACTGAAGGTGTACTGTAAATGCAGTTAAAATAATAATTCTCAACTTACCTTTTAACAACAACTTAACACAGTCTAATGATGAAATTAAAAACAATAACTTTGACTAGAAAATTTCATAATTACGTAAGCATCTGTTTCAACACCTTTATTTTTTAAATTCTTGTTAAACATAATATATTATTATGTGACACACAATCATTCGTAAAAAAATACATTCTATATTCAAATTTATTTATTAGCAGCTATTCAGATACAGGAATATTAGGTAACTGATGATTTAAAAATATCTAAACACGAAAATTACGTTTTTACCTTATGATTTCAAATTCAGAATTAATTCGAAAAAAGAATCATTTTTATTCTACTTGGTTGTGTGTGCACCATAAGATTGTTCACACAGTCGGTATAGGCAAAAACATTACCCTCCATTGCGAACTAACAGATGTGTTTGAATAATTACTTTTGCATTAAGGTTCTTTCTTCTTCTTCGTTCTTATAAATGGAATTTTGAGAATGTTTTTTAGGTATTTCATCTAGGCACGTACCTACTAGGAAAAAGTAAAAGATTTTTAATATTGTTTGGTATAACTTTACATTGTACAATGAGGCTTAATAGTTTAGGGCCGATTTATATCCATGTTTTGTTATGTATATGCAACCAAAACATACATCAAGTTTTTTTTAGTGGAGAAATTATTATTGACTTCTCCCACGTGAGAGGAAGGGATGGCTCTAGCGTATTATATGTGTCAGACAGTGATTGTCAATTTTTTAAGATCATGAAAATCGACAGCATTATTTTGAAAAGATTTATCTGTAATCAATTTCATTATTGTTAATCTCTAGATTTAATTAAAAAAGTACTTAACGTTTCAAAATTAAACAAATAAAAACCCTATTGAAACATTGCAAAGTGACACTTATCAACCTATCCATCCACGCTTTCCGAATCAGGGTTTAATGATTTATTTAATATGATCTAACAGAGATTAATTTCAGTTGCTCAACGCCTCGGGTCTGCGGTCAGAGACACGACACATGCATCACGCTCTAAACACAATTAACGAGCCGGCTAGGGTTACCATTCATCTACGTTACATTGGAATTTGTCTTCATAACGATCATGAGGAAGTTTCTGCGATACTGAGATAAATCGTGTTTTGTAAGGACTTGATGGGATATTACTTAAAGAAATTGAGAGAGATTCGTGGATTGTGGGACTTTAAAAAGTAGCAAGAAAAATTTTTTTTATTTGTTGGTTCAATGACAGATACATTTTAAGAAAGACACAATATTTTAATCTTTTTTTACCATCGGTGATATACTGTGTTTTTGTTAGGTAACTACTAGCTGACCCGTCAAACTTCACTCCACCTCAAAATTAACTAATAATCTCTAACCCTTTTGAACTTCAGCTGGACTTCTACGAATATTTCATGAGCAAATGTTGTCATGAGTAATATTTCATTAGACAAAAATTGGATCAGTAGTTTTCGGGATTTAGTGAGACTAACGAACAAAATTTTCATTTTTAGGTATACTTTAGCCATGCTTCGGCACGAATGGGTCGGCTCGACCGGAGTGATACCACGGCCTCACAGAAGACCGGCGTGAAACATCCACAGCGTTGTGTTTCGCCGTGTGAGTGAGGTTACCGGAGGCCCAATCCTTCCTCTCCCCCAATCCCTCCTTAATCCCTAAATCTCCAAATACCTAATCCCTAAAAGGTCGGCAACGCACTCGTAACTCCTCCGTTGCGAGTGTCCATGGGCGGCTTTACCATCATGTAATCCGTCTGCTCGTTAGCCGACCTATTAAATAAATAAAAAAATAACTAGGCAAATTTGTATGAAAGTCAAATAAGCAGAGGACGGAGGATTTTAGGACACAAGGAAAATAAGAAAAGAAAATGAAAAAAGATATAAATATTACTTTATTTCCTTTGATTGGTTAATTTCATTTCAGAATCCAATCCAAATTCAAATTAATAATAATAATAATTTAGGTTTTAATAAAATTCGATCCGTATGTTTAATGTTTTTGCAAAGCTTTTATTGAGACCTTGCTTTTCGTTTTTCTAAATTTAAAATGAATAGATTCAAAAATGTTTTTCAGCCAGTCCGTTTCCGATTTTTATTTGATGGCAATCCTATGCGAAGTGGCGGTACCTTTCGACCAGGCTAGCTAATGTAAAAACCTCGTTATGCCCCGAAGGCAGAAAAGGATTTACCCGCTATATGTGTATATCAAGGTTTATAACTTTATTTGGTTACTCTGTGCTTAATGGACAATGGAAATATCGAGTCTAAAGTTTTCAATGGCTTAAAAACATATTAGATTATATTTAAAATATTTTTTTATATCTTTATGGTACAAACGAGGGCTACCTAATGGTACCGAGCACCAAGCTGTTTCCCTAATGGTAATGATTTGCCCCACCCATGGAGAACCTGCAATAACCAGAATACAAGGATTGGGGATATTGGGAGGTGGAAGTTTCATAGTTTTTGGTGAACTCTCCGCTCTCATGTCGAGCCGGCCCATTTGTAGTAAAGCTGTATATATAGCACTCAAACACGTTATTTTTTTCGATTTTTTTTAATTTTGAGTGAAATTTGTATTATGTATTATTCTGTTTGTATTATGTACAGTAATACCATAAATTTTACTGGTTACACTATCGAATTGGATTATAATTATCTCTTATGATCGTTGTTAGTGATGTTAAGAAATAAATAAAATTTAATAAATAATAATACATAGATCCTCTTTTATAAATTGCAATGGGTAATTTATTTGTTTTATCACTTAGCTTAGTTACTCATTCATGACCTCGTTGATAAATTAATAGTATTTAAATCATCATTTAAATGTAAATACTTATTGCAAATTAACATACTTATAAAATGAACCTATACTGCGTAATGTATAACTACTATAACTCGTGGTTGAATTGGTGTCACCATTAGCATTATACTCCTTTGTACTGTTTTAACTTTGCCCCTAATATGATTGACTCCTGTCTCTTGGTTTTGGGTCGTGTAATTTACGAAAATATTTTGCACCTACGTGTCAGGGCTTTTTGTGTAAGTATGTCAAGTTGTTTGTTCCTAAACGCACTCACTACACTACTACACTACACTACACAGGAGAAAGTCCAACTTGAAGAGCAAAGTTTGTTATAAAAAAAATGGATGATACAATTATATTTACCTCGTGCAAACTAACCGAGGAAATTGGCAAAACACATTTACAAACTCAGTTAGTATTTCCGTAACCACAATCATCACGCCAAGAAACTGTACCTACTCGCACAGAATTCAGATAGCAATCAATATTTCACAAGGCACGTGCATTTTACACGGATCCCAAACATGATACGAAAACCGTAAATATAGAGAAAGTTGGTTCTAACATCGGTTGTTTTTATAACACAACAAAATTTACGGCTGCCATTAAAGCCTGTATTTACTCGAAGCTAAAACAGTTTCGTCGAAAAAGTCCATTAAAACGTATGTTTTAGTGGATAAGTACAAAATTCTGTACGTGATGTTACGGTGAGCACCTCGGATCCCAGGAGTGAGGTATTATTATTTCATAGCGGCTGTACAAGGCATTAGCATAAAATACCTAAGTAGCACTCGGGAAATTGGTGCGGGAAATATGTTGGCATCGAGCTATGATGGTTCTTAGTTATTAAGTATGAGCGTGTCTGTATAGAAGCTATTTTATTATCAGAGGATGCGTTGGAAGGGTTGGTTTTAGGCTTTATCTTTTAGTAGAAAACTGAGTAGCATTTCCAAATTGTATTCCATAGTATGTGATACAATAGAAGGTGTTTATGTCTCAACTAAATATAAAATAACTTTTCTTTTTGTTGATGACGGGGTAAATAGTGTTTTGTTTTCTGTGCAGATTGGCTTTTTAGTTCATAGGTTAATTTTATTTTATTTAGCGTTTTGAAAACAAATACAGTACTTTAATACGTGTATTTTAAACAAGTTTTTCAAGGAATGATTGATTCTTTTACACCATAAACCCTACAGAAACGTACGCCAAATATTTCTTACTCCAACAGGTTACAAATACATTTATCGTTCCTACCATGTTCTAAGTAAATAATATACGATCAGGAGAACATGTTCTAGGCTTTGCATGAAACATGTTCTTGTTGGCAACCCGCTGGGCATGTGTGTAACCTCTCTTACACATCGCTGGGAGAGCGATCTTGTATTCCAATTTATAACGTACGGCAAATATTGGAAGCCATTCCACAATATCTTCTTTGGAATTGGCAGCGGATAATTTTAATAAAATTAAAGAAAATGTAGTTTTGTTTTGTGGTAGGAAGGGAAACAATAGTACGGATTGTAGAGGAGTTACGAATGCGATGCCAGCGTTTTGGAGATTAGAGTTTCAGGTTATTGGGGAAGGCGAAGAAAGGTTGGGCTTAATTTCTGGGGATGACATGATGGAATTTTTATCAATCAATCAAAATAAACAAGCGAAAGCAGTTGAAATCTTTTGCGAAGTAGCAATTTCTATACAACTTCGGTACTACTATCATCGTTCGAAAACTAGTCTCCAAAGACTTGCGAGTTACATCCAACCAATCTAAACTCGGGAACACTGGACTAGTTAAACAGCCTATATCTAAGTATCAGTTAACCGCAGCGAACAATTCTGTTGTATATTAGATTCCTACCCAGATGGAAGTTTTGGCATTAGATTACTTGTAGTTGAGCGGAGTCCCTCCGGGCCGAAGTGCATATCCTTGTTTGACATGAGACTCCGTAACTTATTTCGACTTGTACGGTACAAAGTTTTGGCTACACGATACACCCCTTTTAGCTATGGGATTGTAAGAAGGTTTGATGAATGACTCTGATTGGTTCGTTTCACTAGTCCGTTTGGTGTTCGGATAAAAACGATGCCTGGGAAAGTGGTATTGGGTTTAAACCTTATGTCACATATATGCTATAATTGAAAAATGTTCAGTGCAGATCTCGAGAGCAACTGAACCGATTTCGTAATTTTTTTTTTAGATCTATTGTTATTGTCAGGAGAATATTTTTATGCAAATAGGTAGGGTTTCTGGGTAGGTGGATAGAATTGAGTTTTTTTTTGTATAGGTATTCGCATTACTATTAATTGAAAAAATATGTAATCTTAATTAAATTAAATTACTTATGATGCATTTTGAGAAGAGATACCATTATTGAAACTGAATACCTTTTAAGAGTATCAATAATAAAAAAACCTTTATCAGGCTCTCACAATAAATAAATTGTACGAAGATCAAAATAGACAAAGTTAGTAAAGAAACTCGAAATTGTGGAGACGGTGTATATTACACTTATTACAATTTACATAAATCTAGCTCTTGCTGATTTATAGTTTTAATGAAAAAGCAACTGAAGTACTGCCATAGTTAAAAATGTTTCATACGTTCAATAGAGATGTGTAAAGTAACGTTTACAATGATTTTACAAAATATTTGTGTTATAGAATATGTAGTTTGTTTTGGATATTAGACAACAAAGTCTTAGTTAAATTATTTTTAGTAAGAAATTACCCTGTTACGAAGTATGAAATGCCTCCGTACTGTTAGTTAGAAAGCTTACAAGTGCAATAGGACTATTCGCACTCGTATGCTTTCTAAGTTCGATATCGACACTATCACTTTTAGAACAATTGTAATAGGTAATCATTTTTTTATTGATTGGTTCAAAAGACTTTTAGAACATACCCTTGAGTGAGCAGAAAATCATCAAATGACTTGTCCCGCCCAAGTTGAGGCGAGAGAAGTCTCCTAAAAACATCCCTGTTGCTTCTCCAGCTCTAGGCCGAGGCCGCGGTGCCTTATTGCTTACCTCGCAACCCCGACATACTAAAATGTATTCAAATACTGAAAAATCGACAATACCATCCTTAAAATTTGTCTACGGCTGGTAACAGATACTTTCTGGTGAGGTAATTACATACCCACGCTTAGCTTAGCTAGCGTCAGCAAGGGGATTTATTTGACAGTGGACATATTCCCATAGATGATGATTATAATGATGAGATTGAAAAGAAACTCTTAGAAGTTGAAAATTAACAATTTATGCTACCCCATAATCTGTTTTGATATCACTACATAGCATAAAACAAAGTCACTTTCTCTGTTCCTATATCCCTACGTATGCTCAAATCTTTAAAACTAAGCAACGGATTTTGATGCGGATTCTATAATAGATTAAATTATTGTAGAGGAATGTTTATATGTGGAGAAATTTTGTATCAGCATTGGACCCAAGCGAAGCCAGGGCGTGTCGCTAGTTAGAAAAAAAAAACGAATGTTGGTTTTGTTATTTCGTTGCTATAATGCGCTGTTGCAGGCTAGGCTTTAATGCACTGATGGACATCAGGTCAACCATGACACTATTAGAGAAAAAACTGTCTAGCTCTTCTAGAAATCCTGTTTTTTTTTAATTACTACTTATTTTTTATTGTTTCAGGTATGTACTTCTAAATATCCACTTCATTACTGATATGGTAAGGATTTTTTATAAGTTATCAATACAAAATAGTTTCTAACAATGTAGGTGATATTTAGACTATTATTGAAACATTACATAATATAGAAAACAATTCAATTCGATTCGAT